GTAGTTTTTTTACCTCATTAGTTGCTTCGTTCGATATTGGTGCTTGTTTCTTATTCTATCCGGTCTTTGTCACAGGTGATTTCGGTGTTAAGGGTGCCCACATAGCTAGTTCTAACTAACATTTGCTACACAATTGCCCCCGAATCTATTGCTTTTAAGATAGCGAGCCTTACTTCCATTTTCAAATTCTTGCTGCTTGTACAGTAGATCCGTCGCGATGTGATACTCCACTGGGTTATGGGCTAAAAGGCCAGGTTGAATTGAGTAAATTAGTGAACACACCATCTTTTAGTGGAACAGTGCCCATGTCCCGTCCAATTGAGTCAAAATTGTAGGTGTTCAACGAATCCCGCGCCGCCTCGGTGAGCTGGTCCCACGTGATGAGGTCTTGAAATTTACCGACAGCTTCCACACACCGTAATCCTTGCTTACCTTTAGCTCCATCCATAACGTGCCCATCGAACTCAAGTTTCAATGTTGAACCGTCAACACATTTTTTATCCACTGGAGCTTGGGTGTCGTGACCTAACTGCCCCGACATCGATACTCCCAGGATATATGCATTCTCGACTGCAGGATTGTTGATCCAAACAGTAACGTAACCCCAGAAGTGGCGATGACCCTCAACCATGGACAACCCACTGAAGCGCTCGTATCCTTTTGGCAGATACCATGCGTACGTGATCGCCCAAACATCCCTATACCACGTAGAGCGGGAATATACTTGAGACCCTAACGCAGAACCCTTGCAATCCCCGTCAGGTTTGCCGGAATACTTGAGCCCACCGCTAACAGCACCATCCGCTTGGACGGCTGGGTACGGATGGCATCCAAATGCGATAGAGAGCTGAGGTTTGAACTTGACGGCAGCTTTCTGGGAAGTGGTGATAGGTTCTGGCTGGGGGAAAGGTTTCACCCTGTCGTGGCCAACACTACTTATACCTTGAGCGGAAGGCGTTGAAAAGAGAATAGTTATAGCGAAGATGAAAACGCATAGATTCATGTTCGACGCTAAAGTCTAAATGCCACTTCAGGGCGTGCGATTTCGAAGTCTCAAGGTGCTAGTATGATGAGACGGTTATCATTGATTGCGAAACCCCCTGGACGCGGATGCTGTCCCGGAAGGGATAAAAAACGGGCTTATCCGGGATAAGAAATAATCCTAGTTATAGTATGCAATACTGAATC